AGAAGAGAGAGAGAGAGAGAGGGAGAGGGAGAGAAGAGTTAGTTACTGTTTGAACTGTGTTTAATTTTCTTATAATAGAAAAATAAAGGAAAAAGTGAACCTCAATACTCGTGATGCCTAAGATGAGATAAATGTTTCATCAAGTTGCTGGATATCACTGCTTGATAAAGAATGATATCTTTTCAAATGTTAAACCTTATTTTGTAGGAATGCTAGATAGTTCTTTTTTTTCTGTCAACATAAACAGTGATCGTGATAAAAGCACTGGTAACACTTGATAAAAGATAATTGGCTTTATAGAAGACTTCTGCTACGAAAGTTTCTAAAATAAAAAAAAAAAAAAAACAAAAAGAAAGCTGAAATTAGCGATGACGATAAACAACGCTGATAAGGATGGCACGAAAAACAAGTAACGATTAATGTATGTCCCCGTGTGACAATTTTCTTTTGTCACTGTCTGCTGGACAGATCATTACCAAACTAGTAAACAGACAATGCTTTAATAAATTATGCTCATTTCATGAGGCGACAATGAACAGTATACTTTCTCCTCCCTACCTTATGCCATCCTTTTCCTTCTTTCCGCATCGAATTCTTCAAGATGGAACTATTCAGGAGAAATCCATGAAGGCATAATGTTTCATTATTTGACCAATCAATGAATTATAGATACTGTTTACATTGTTGGATGAAAAGTTCAAATCGGATTTTCTCATGACAAATCTCCCTGCGGATTATCCTAACAAACATACCGTCGTGTCGTAAGAGAAAGGATTAAAATCCAATGAATAAAAACCTTGTTCTCGTCTGTTCCTCTTCCTTCTTTCCACTCTTTTTCGTTTTGTTTTCCTTCAATCGGCAAAACAAAGATTTCAGAGCGAGGAATTAGTTGACGGATAGATGGATTGGACATCACAACACAACAACGAATGTTTTCTCTCAATTACAATATTAATTTTTAGCATTATTTCATTCATTCATTCATTCATTCATTCATTCTTTCTTTCTTTCTCCCTCTCTCTTTCTCTCTCTCTTGAAATATTTGTTCCAATAATCATTCCATCCGTAAATTGTCCACCTATCGTTACTTTTTTCTTCCTCATAAACTCCGATGTCTTATATACATATGGATATCAGTAAGTTTTAAGTCTTATCAGTAAGCAAAGTGTTAAAAGGTGATTTTTTTTGGAGTATTATAAACTGTAATAATTGAATAATGATCTGAATTGCAAATTTATGTTAATAATTATCCAATAATGCTATTGAAATATGGTTATGACCAAATGACTAAATGCAAATTTTGGAGGATGATAAGGCCGCTGAAGTAATAAAATCTAGGCTTAATCTAGTTATTTTTAGGAAAGCCTTAAACTTACTGAGCACATAATCTTTGTGCATCGTTAATATTCAAGCTATTTGATATTTTCACCTTACAATATCAAGTTAAAAGCACGGTATTATTAATGTTAATTGACCTAAATTCATATTTTGATTTAAAGAGGGAAATCAGTTCAAGACAATGTTTTTAAATTGTGAAATATTTATAAAATAATTAATTCGTTTGACTAATTATCAAATATGTATGTTCGGTTATTTCTATTGGCTATAGTGAGCAATCAGTGAGTTAGTTCAACGCCCAACAAAAATAGATCAAATGTTAATAAAGTAATAGATTTACAGCTGAAAATTAATACATTGTTTTACTGTTATAAACGCAAAAGACGTGTTTCATAAAAAATTGTTAACTGAAAAATTTGTCAGCCAAGAAATTGGGCGCCTGGGAATTGTAAGTGAGACTTCAAGGGAAGTCTTAGGAAGATATGGTGAAGGGAACTCATCAAAAAAATAAGGAGGAAAGGAATATATATATATATACATATTTGCAACCGATTCACATGTTAGACAAACTAATTCTTGGCCTAAGGCCTAAATAGACAAAATTCCAATTTTGTCCGACGAATTAGTCATAAGAGGGCAATGGGGCAATACATGGAAAAAATTGTTATCCGAACGAGACAAATAGCAAAACGTGGCGTTTGAAACTCTAATCAGGCTACAGAAAGTGGAGATGATTTTGGATAGAGAGAAGGCCTAAGGCGAGACTATTCGTTAATGTGACATCCTTTGGATCACTTCGATTTTAATGTGTCCCAGAGAAGAAACTTTGTTAGGAAGAAGCCAAGCTTAATTTTCTGGATTTAAACATGGAGTAGAATTAAATAATGGGAAAATATATGCCTGCAGCCTCACTTAAGTTAGCTCGTTCTGTGTAGACATTCCTACACAATTGCATATATGTTGTATATATTATATTAAATATATTATATTATAAATTTCCATTCTATGTCCTTCATTTTAGGCTCAATTTGGCTAATATAATTGTCCGGTTGATTAGGAAAGGGGCGGAGGAAGTGAAGGTTGGATGCGCAATTAGTCGTAAGTGAGAAGTGGTGATTTTTATGTCAAGCCATATGGTCCATCATTGAGCATTATAATTGAGGTGATCTCTTCCTTCCCAATTTAATGGAAGCTATCATCAAATTTACTTTATCCACTATCCGTGGAAAGTCAAACTTCATTAATTCGAATTGCGCTTATTTGATTTTGGAGTTACTTTATTAAATGAATCAAAACTATCGGCTGAAATGAGACCCGAAGTCGTTCTTCAATTGCCAATATTCTCATTTAGTGAAACAGTTTAGATGATATTAGCTAGTAAGCAAGAGAAGTGATAATTTACATTGCATTTTTAATCCTATAGTTCCCCTCGAAAATTTCGTAAAATTTGTGAGTTTTTGAAATGAACAATCTTAAATCAGCAATGGAAGCAGTGAGAGACAATGTAAAGATGCAACTCCGTTCACTGATAGCATTGATAAAGTTAATTTCCCGCAAGATAAGAATATATAATTCAAAATGAATGAAGCAGACATGAGGCAAAGAAAGATGAGAATGAATGAAAACAAAATCTAATCATAAGAGGACAGATGAAAAACTCTTATAATCACTTTTACAGTGCAAAATCAAATACCGCTCGTGATAAGTTTCTGATACTTATCATCTTTTTATTCTTTCTCAGCGATAACAAAAAATAGTGATCTAGAGGCGATACCGAGGCAGATAATTTGAAATTTACCTAACTGCCAGATGGCTTATATCCGGTTACATGGTTTTTATCCATTGCATTAAATTAGAAGCGGGAAGGGCGGGAAGAGGAAAAAGGATGAAAGGAAAGGGAAAGAACAGGAAGAGAAGAGGAAGAAAAGAATGCTTAACAAGACTGTTTCTCATAGAGACAAGATCGGTGATTTCGATTCGAAATGAAAAAAAAAAAAAGAAAAGAAACGAGAAATGAAGTGTGAAGAAATCAGACTGAGTCAAAGGTACTGACCAAAAACATCTCTCATTTTTCCAACTTTCTTTTCTACCTCTTTTGTCTTTGTATGGTATAATCCACAGTTTTGTTCCGTATTGTCTTGTCCAGTCACTCGAAAGAAACAATACTTGTAATTTCTTCAATTTTATTGCTTCTTTTTCGCAAACTTTGTCTTTTTATCTAGCTATTGTCTGTGTTTTCTAAAAAAAGGTTAACTTTTCTGTATAGACTTGAAGTGATAAGCTTACAATGTGTGATAAATCTATTCCTAATTCTCTTTGCAATCCTAAAAACTAACATTATCGAAGCTTTATACTGAAAATGTGCAATTTCTATTGCTAAGAAACTTTTGTTATGATAATTTGACATTCTATGAATTCCGTATCCGTTTTGCTTTTCTTTTCTTTGTAAGCATTTTTTTTCTTTTTTTTTGGAATGATTTTTAATGTTCTAGAAGAATGACAATCATGGTGATGGAAATTATATGATAATGACTGGTACAGCTGATATGATTGATTGCTTCTCTATCAATCTTTCATTTGTACCATTAAAATTATTTGAGCGAAGATTAGTTTTAAAAGCGAAAAAAGTGTATGATTAGCAATGAAAGAAGTTATCATTTAAGTTGTTACTGATAGATTTGTGTGATTAGCATTTCGATCGGTCTTGAAAGCTCAATTCATTTCACAGTAAACATTATGAATAATCAAATTTTAAGCATAAAATGGAAAATGTTTGCCACAAAAGTTGTACTATAATTCAATTTGTTGGTCGCAGATGGAATGCCATTGGAATGATGAGAGTATGGATCACTGATTGAAACCAATCCAGGAGAATTGAGTCGAATGAGAAGAAAGAGACTGGTAGATGATAAAAGAGTAAAGGCATGTTTCCACTCTTCCTATTCTAATGATCATTCCTTTGAATGGTTTGAGGCATGCATCCTCCACTTATAAGATTAGCTCGGACAAATGAGCCGAAATTAGGCATTCCTTTCTCTCCATCGAAGATTACTTACTACTACTACTCATTATATATAATGAACAGTAGTAATACACTACTACTAATTATATATTATATATTATTATTATTATTATTATTATTATTATTATTATTAATTATTAATACTGCTACTACTGACTAGTTTCCGTAAAAAATTGCTCTTTTAATGAAATTCAATTTAATAACGATTTAAATTATAATCGAGTATTCGATTAATTGGAAGAATTATAGCTTCTCATTTTGTGGTCCTTTTTGAGAGTGATAATTACGAATGTCAGTTTTATTACAGCATTTGTTGCATAATAGAATAAAAAAGTAAATGGTTTGATGAGATTTGTCCATAAACTTTTGATGAATGCAATAATTGTATTGTTGTACATTATTCAAAACTGAAAGAATCTCAATTGAACTTTTTACTCATCAATTCTAGGACTATTTTCAGGATGTCTTGCTGCTGAGGAAATGTAAACAGTCCCAGCAAAAACAAAAAAAACACTGTGATACCTTTGTGGAACGGTAACAAATCATATCTAATCATTTTGTTCGAAATTTATTTGTATATATCCATCTCATCGATTCCCAACACAGAGAGAGAGAGGGAGAGAGAGAGAGAGGAGGGAGGGAGGTAGGT